AGACATCTGTTCAATAAATATGACAATAATTGAGAAATAAAGTTAATTTTTTCAGATTTTAATTTAGTTTTAAAACAATTGTGGAAAGAGAACAATTTGTAAGTTATGTTCAGGAAAAAATATAATGAAACTTAGTTAAATTTTGGAACCTTAATGAACACATGAATATCATCTTGCATAAGAATGCATTAAAGAATGAACAATACTCCAAATAATGAATAAAAAATGTAAGTGTTATAAGATACTGTATCTATTTTTTGTTTATTATTATGAAGTAGAACTAACTTTTCTGGTGTACCGTTTTATAGATTTTAACATGTGTATAGTTTCATGTAACCACCACCAAAATTACATGCAGAACATTTACATCACCCCCCAAAATTCCCTCATGCTGTCCCTTTGCTAATAACTCCTGGTAACTACTGATCTGTTTCCCATCCCTATACTTTTGTCTTTTTGAGTGTCATATAAATGGGATCATAGTATGTAACTATGACTGATTTCTTCTTTTTGAGACTGGCTTCTTTCACTCATCATATTGCCTTTGAGATTCATCCAAGTTGTCGCATGTATCAAACATCCCTTTTTACTGTCGAGTAATATTCCATCTTATGGATGTACCATAGTTTGTTTATTCACTCACCCACTAGAGTGCATTTGGGTTGGTTCTAGTTTGGGGCAGTTATGAGTAGAGCTGCTATAAACCAAGGAGTGGAATTGCTTGATCATACAGTGTTTATCTGTTTTTAATTTTTTTTGATATGTATTCAGATGTGTTTTAGATCCAATCCAATTTCCTTCAGGTCATTTTTAGAACTGTTTTTCTTCCTACTTCTGATGTAACATTTCATCTTTTATCTTTGTCATGTTTGCTTGATCCTTTTTCCTTTGGGTTGCCTTTATTGGAGTCATCTTCTGGTATTGTAGCCCAGAATCTGTCTTGCTTTTATATGCCTCCAGCTTAATTATATGATTCATCTTCTTATGGAATCTAGTTTGCTACTATACTCTTCTTTACCATTTGTAGATGACTTTCAGATCTGTCTTTCTCACCTGTTTTGTTCAGTTTATATCTTATTCTCTGGAGGACATTTCTAATTAGATGTCCTGTTAACTCTTTAATCTTCTTATGGTAGAAACTTAAAAAAAATTATTTTCCCTTCTGTCTTTTCCCTTCTACAGCTTTCTTATCATAAGTACAAGATAATTTCTTACCTTTGCTGTTACTTCCCCTTCTACTTGCAGGCAGTAACCAAACCTAGGACTTTGCTTTTTAGTCATCACTACTCCCAAACTCTCCCAGAACTCTCTTACAGATTCTGTTTACCTCATTTACATACCATTGTTTGTCACTGACCTTCCAACTACGTATTTTCCGTTTCCATCCTAAAGTCAGGATTAAAATCATCTCACATAAAGAGCATTCTGCTTTTGCGTGTGTGTGTGTGTGTGTGTGTGTGTGGGTTTGTGGGGGGAGAGAGAGAGAGAGAGAGAGAGATTCAATAGAAAGGCCTGCTCCCTGTTGTGATAGTACTATAACTTTTTTTTCTCATGTTAGGTAAATTTTATTATCCCTTTTATAGGGCCTGGATTGCCTCTTAGCTGTTTGCTCAAGTGGCCCTGCATGCTTCTAAATTCTTATCTGTTAGGCCTTCTCTTTCTCCTTCTACATGTCTTTGTTCAGGAATAATTTCTCATACCCCAAAACAAGTATACCTGTGATTTAGGAGGACACAAAGTTGTATTTGTAGGTAATATGATTGTCTACTTAGAAAATTCAAAAGAATCAACTAAAAAAACTTAGATGTTAGAAGAAAGTTAAGTAGCCAGATATAAAATAAATATACAAAAATTAATATTTCTTCATATATACTGTTTTTGAAATATAATGTAAAAATCCCATGCACAACTGCAACCAAAAAACATAAATAGTTAGGAATGTTATGAATGAATTAATATGACAAAAAGTACAAAACTTTATTGGGAGATGTAAGAGACGAATAATTGGAGAGACATATTCTTAAGAACTGAATGTGCTATAAAGATATTAGTACTTCCTAAACTGATTTAGAGATTGAATCTAATTCCAATCAAAGCTTGGCTTTTTTGTTTATTTTTTACTTTTTTTGTTCATTTTTCATTGGAGAAAGTTGTTTTTGCTCTAGTAGAATGATTCTAATAATCATCAGGAAGTAAACATGGTTGAAAGTAGCCAAGACAGTTATAAAAAAGAAGAATGTGTGGAGGGTAAGAGCTTGCCCAAACTACTGCTATAGTCCATAGTATAGGCTGGAAATAGTCTAGCATATATAAAAATATAAAGCCTGATAGAAATGGCATCTCAATCAATGAAGAAAAGGTTATTTAGTCAACAATATTGGATCAGTTAGTTAACTCTTTGAAGAATTACTTGGATTCTTAATTCACTTGTACCATATACAAAAATAAAATTCCAGATAGACTAAAGAATTATATGTAAAGTAAAAATTTACAAGAGAAGAAAATGTAGGTGACTACCAGTGTCTGTAATGGGAGAGGATTTTAAGGATAAAAGTAATGGAAAACATCATAAAAACAAAAATTGATAATGTTGGCTGTTTAAATAGTAAAAATACATTTTTTAAAACCCTTCCATTTATCAAAAATATACCATAAGTAAAATTAAAAGGCAAATAGCAAACTGGGATAAACGTTTATAACAAAGATAATAATACCCTTAATATATAAATAATTTTTATAAATCAATAAAAATTATTAAATCCCAACAGAAAAATGTACAGAGGACATGAACAAATAATAAGAGAAAATTTATCAATGGTAAAAAAAATGATTTTAAAAAGTGCTAGCCTCGTCAATAATTAGACAAATGCCAATTAAAAATGATTGAAAAATACCATTATTCATCCATCAAGTTGATAACTACTTTTAAAAATTTCTAGTATTCATTACTTTCGAGGATATACCAAGATAGTCACTGTCATATACAGTGGTAGGATTGTTAAAAAATGATAAAAACCTTTCTAGAAAAATATTTGAAAGCCTATTTCAAGAGCATTAAAATACGCAAAACACCTTTTAACATAACAATTTGCCTTCATGAAGTAATCATACATATTGTCAAAGATTTAAGTATAAAAATGTTCATTGCGGGCTTCCCTGGTGGCGCAGTGGTTGAGAATCTGCCTGCTAATGCAGGGGATACAGGTTTGAGCCCTGGTCTGGGAGGATCCCACATGCTGCGGAGCAACTAGGCCCGTGAGCCACAACTACTGAGCCTGCGCATCTGGAGCCTGTGCTCTGCAACAAGAGAGGCCATGGTAGTGAGAGGCCCGTGCACCGCGATGAAGAGTGGCCCCCACTTGCCAAAACTAGAGAAAGCCCTCGCACAGAAACCAAGACCCAACACAGCAAAAATAAATTAATTAATAAACTCCTACCCCAAATATCTTCTTTAAAAAAAAAAAAAAAGTTCATTGCAACAACTTATTGATACTAAAAACTTAGAAATTGTTAAATATGTGACAGTAAAGAAGTAATGTGGAGTAGGGGAATTAAATTGTGAAACCAGTCGTATGATGAAATATTATGGAGCCATTAAAAATCATAATGTATAGCTGTATTTATAGACATGGGAAGGGGCTTAAGATAATATCTGGGCTGAAAAAAAGAGATACAAACTTTTTAGGTAGTACCAAATTAATAATATCAGTTATTTCTAGCTAGTTGAATTTTGGATGATTGAGATTTCTTTACATCTTTTGGTATTTTTTCCAAGTTTTCTATAGTGATCATGTATTTTGCAATTAGAACCCGAAATAACAATTTTAAATTGTTTTTAAAAAACAGTTAATGTTCAAGAGAATACAAGATGCAGTGAGTTTCCAATTTTTAATTAAAATAAAACAAATAAATCTGCATTAACAGCATTTATGTTTAAGCAATATAATATAGTTTATTTTTAACTTATTTCTATTTGTTTTATAACTTTTGCTCAGTTAACATCTAATACTTTCATAATAAAATTTTTAAGTCTATTTAAAAGAAAAATGATATCCTTGCCAGAGTTTTAGTGAGTACCAACCATATCTAATCTTGAATCTCATTATGCCCATCATTTATCCCATCCGTATGTTGTCATATTTAGGTTATGTTCATTTTCACCTGTTTTGTTTTGCTAATCCCTAATGGTTTTTGTTTAAAAAAAAAAAATCTCTGCAATGCATTTCCCCCTTTGGTTCCTAACAAGAGACTTAATTACTTAAATATAAATTGCTAGAAGGTCCATGTTAACCTAGTGAATTATTGGCATTTAAACGTATTTGCATCTATTAAAAGTTCAAAGTATATAAACTGATTTCTTTTAATGATAACTCTATATCTGACAAAGTAAAACAGAAATCACTATGTAGAAGAAACAGCATCTGCTTGACCATGTTCTTTTTATAAACTTTGTCTCTGTTCTCACTTTACTGTTCAGAAGAAGCAATCTGTTTTCATATGATATAACTGAATATGAATCAAGTTCAGTATCTTCTCCCATTTGCCCAATTCCCAGTCCACCTCTGTGTGGAGTTACTTTTCAGCTATATAGTATGACAAATATTAAACTTACTGCTTTGGGGGCTATCCTCTCACCAAAACTCAGGGAAAATGGGAGGGAGCTGCCATTCATTGACTTAAGAAATGCTTGACAGTTCTTCTTTCAAAGAGTGAGATAAGAAATGTGTGTGAATGAATAGTTAGTTATGATGGACTATTCACTTTCATCAGTATATAATGTGTGTTTTCTTTTTATGTCTATTAAATATGAGGTTCTGGAATGCCTTTTCACTTTGCAGAATTCGGAGACTGCAGTTCCAACACCTTTGAGAGGGCAGCAATCATGATTATACTGGCTACATTTATTAGTCAAAAAGCGAGAAAGCTTTGTTTTGCTCTTTTCATTAGTTTGTTTAATAATATATTCAAATTATAACCTTTAATGTTATTTCTTTTACTAGCTTGGTGCTAACAGTGGTTTGCACATCATCATCTTTGATGAAATTGATGCCATCTGCAAACAGAGAGGGAGCATGGCTGGTAGCACAGGAGTTCACGACACTGTCGTCAACCAGTTGCTGTCCAAAATTGATGGGGTAGAGCAACTAAACAACATCTTAGTCATTGGTATGTTTGCTTGGTTTAAAAAAAAAAAGGTACTTTGATTTCAGAAACATTAGATACATAGGTTCTGAATTCAGATTTGTGTAGCTTGTAAGTATACTGTTTTGCCAGGGTTTCCAAATTAGAGTCAAGTGATTTTGAAGAATTTCACTATTTTAATGTCTAGCCTTAATAGGACAAATGAAAAATGGGTTTTAGTGACTCATGGATTTTTTTTTTCTTTTAATAAAACTCCTCACTTTTTTTAAAACTTTATTATTTTTGGCTGCATCGGGTCTTAGTTGGGGCACGTGGGATCTTTCATTGCGGCACGTGGGCTCTTCGTTGCGGCACATGGGCTTCTCTCTAGTTGTGGCATGTGGGCTTAGTTGCCCTGTGGCATGTGGGATCTTAGTTCCCCGACCAGGGATCGAACCCGCGTCCCCTGCATTGGAACGCGGATTCTTAACCACTGGACCACCAGGGAAGTCCCAACTCATGGCTTTAAACTTAGAGTTAACAGGTGAAAAAGGCTGCACGATGTAATGCAGTGGTTTTCAAACTGGGTCCTGTAGGCCTCCAGGAGTCCTCAGAGCTACTTCAGGGTCTGTGTGGCCAGGGTTTGAGCTTCAGATCATGCATCCCTATTATAACTTATCTTTTTAACTGCTTTATGTACTGAAGTTCTTCTTAAGATGACTTTCAAAACAAAACAAAACAAAAATTCTGCCATTTATGAAGGTTGAAAACCATTGGCCTGCAAAAAAGAGAAGGGATGTTGGGGTCAGACAGATCATGTTCACATTGCCCCTCTCTCACTTTGACAGTTTACTTACCTTCTCTGAACCTAAAATTTTCTTTTTAAATATTTGAAGCTTTCATTACATTTATGTTCCACTGGCCTGTACAGTAGTGAAATACTAAAGCAAAACCCCCAGGTATTTTCATTAGGTCGAGAACAAATGATATTTTTGAAAATGACTGCTTTTCTATTTGACTTTTATAAAATGTCCTCTTAGCTTGTCAGGGAAATTGCTATTCTTAAACATACTGAAGGGACATTTTATCTTATTTTTGAATTCTGATAATTTGTGTGTTGTTTTGTTTTAACAACTGCTCAGGAATGACCAACAGACCAGATCTCATAGATGAGGCTCTCCTTCGACCTGGAAGACTGGAAGTTAAAATGGAGATAGGTAAATAGATCTGTCACTGATTGGGGGAGGGGAGTGTAATTAGAGTTCGTTAGTAGGAGCAAAGTCATATAACTTAATATTTGTTAGAAAAGTTGTGTATCAGAAGCAGGTATTTACACACTTGAGTACCTGTAAGAAAAACATTAAGATTATAATAATGTCTATTTTATTTTCAATTTTATCAGGCTTACCAGATGAGAAAGGCCGACTCCAGATCCTTCACATCCACACAGCAAGGATGAGAGGGCATCAGTTGCTCTCTGCTGATGTAGACATAAAAGAACTGGCCGTAGAGACCAAGAACTTCAGCGGTGCTGAGCTCGAGGGTCTGGTGCGAGCAGCGCAGTCCACTGCTATGAACAGACACATAAAGGTCAGTAAAATCAACTACCATATTAGGAGTCTGCAGCCCTGTAAATACCATGCCGGTATTCTTTCTCTTTCCTTTCAAGCATACTAAGGACTAGGGTAATACTGACTTTTGATGGAGAATAGACATGGTAAAAGGTATAGGGATTAATTGTCAACTGCTAAATCTTCAAGTAGTTGGAAAAAAGATAATGGTAGCATCTGCCCCATGGTAGCCACTGACCCATTTACCTTAGGTTGCCACCATTTGATACAGACACATGAAGATGAAGATTTTGAAGAATTTTTTAAAAATTTGTGCTGTGTTGACTTGTAACATGACATAGGAAGTTGGATTTTCTACATGCTAGAATTATGGGGGCTGCTTCATTAAGTAAATATATTGAATACCTGCTATTTTCAAGGTGTTAAGCGGGAGACACAAAGATAATAAAGCATGACCTTTTCCCACAAGGAGTACAGAGTCAGAGAAATGGATATGTTTGCAAATTAATACAATAATGTTATTGATACTTTGGTAGAAATACATACAAAGGATACTTTCATTTTGGTAAATAAAACTTGATAAAGTGCATTTGATCCTTTACCATCGCTTCTCTTCAGGTTTTACTTATCACCTGTAGTTAGATGACTCCCAAATTTATGTCTCATCTCTTGAAAGTATCTTTCTCCCACTTTCAGATTTATACCAAATACCTCTACCTGGATGTGTTATCAGGTCTCAAATTTAATATTCCACAACCAAATTCACTTTGTTGTTGTTGTTGTTGTTTTTTCTCACTACTTTCCTTCCTGCTACTACTTCCCTGTTTATCCCAATTTCCCAAGCTTAAAACTCCAAGATTATCTTTGATTTCTACCACTCTATTGTGTCCTACATCAAGTTATTTGCCAAATTTTGTCAGTTCTAACTTGGCAGTATCTTTCAGTTCTCATTGCCACTACCTGTCTTCTGTTTGATTAACCTTCCTGTTTCACGCCATTCTATTCTTCAGAAACTTTCAGTGACTCACTGTGATCTGCAGAACAAAGTACAGAAGTCTTAGTCTGGTCTTTAAGGTCCTCTTAGATCTGACCCTAAATTGGCCTTTCCTGATGTGTTCCCAGTTATTCTCCATACACTTTATGAATTTATTTATTTTATTTTTGGCTGCGTTGAGTCTTCATTGCTGCACACGGGCTTTCTCTAGTTGCAGCGAGCGGCGACTCTCTGTTTCAGTGTGCAGGCTTCTCATTATGGTGGCCTCTCTTGTTACGGAGCACGGGCTCTAGGCTCGTGGGCTTCAGTAGTTGTGGTGCATGGGCTTAGCCGCTCTGCAGCATGTGGGATCTTCCCAGACCAGGGCTCGAACCCGTGTCCCCTGCATTGGCAGGCGGACTCTCAACCACTGCGCCACCAGGGAAGCCCTCCATACACTTTAGCCAAGCTAAAATATTGAATATTTACCAGTCATCAGATATTAATGTATTTTTCTACTTCTTTGCTGTTACCTCTTTTTTTTTTTTTCCCTTCACTGAGAACGTTTACCCTCTATGTTTACTTATCTTTTCAATACCTGGCTCATGTACCACCACTTTCTTCAAACTTTTTCTCATTCTCCCTTTCAAGAATGGTATGTTCTGTTCCTTCTTGAACTAGTAGTGTATTGGAAATTCCCTGGTGGTCCAGTAGTTAGGACTTGGTGGTTTCACTGCAGTGGCCCAGGTTCAATCCCTGGTGGGGAAACTAAGATCCTGCAAGCCACACAGTGTGGCCAAAAAAAAAAAGAAATAGTAATGCATCATTTACAGTACCTTCTGTTGACTTTCAATCAGTGGATTTATCTAGCCTTGTGTGTGCCAGACACTGTACTAGGGGTGAATGCTCCAATTGCCTACCCTTGAGCAGCTCACAGTCTAATCCTCCACATGCAGTAATAGAAAGTACATACGGGGTAAGGAAGTGAAAAGGTGTCAGGTGTGGTCAGCTTGTCGGGTGAGAGGAGCCTTCACAGAGGAATTTCTGGGTGGATATGTTTCCTGATGGAGTCAGGCATTTTAGGTAGAAAGAACAAATATGCAAAGGAACAGAGACACACAAACAGCATGGTGTGTTAGAGTAATTCAGTACTGCTGCAGCATAAAAGGTAGGGAAGGGGAGGTAGAAAAAGACATGGGGGATAAGTCAGGAGGCTAAAGCAGGGGATGGAGCACAAAGAGCCTTTTATACTGTGCTAGGAAGTATGGACTTCTTTTCTGTGAGTAGTGCTAAGCCATTGAAGAGTTTTAAGAATAGCAGTGACATAGTGTTAAAACATAAGCTCACTCCGGCAGCTTTGTCGAGTGGAGTATTTAGGGGAGTGAAGTTGGTGACATAAGGCAAGAGAGGGGAACTTGTATAACAATTCACGCAGGAAATAGTAAAAGCCTGAACAGTCAGGTTGTGTATGTTTTATTCGGGTATACCCTGGCAATGGTTTTAAACCAAGGGTTGGTAAATTGTGGCCCATGGGCCATATCCAGCCAACCACCAGTTTTTATAAATAAAGTTTTTTTGGAACACAGCCACCCCTGTTCATTTATGTATTGTCTGTGGCTGCTTTCATGCTACAATGGCAGAGTTGAGTATTTGCAAAAGAGACTGCATGGCCCACAAAGCCTAAAATATTTACTATCTGGCCCTTTATGGAAAAAGTTTGTCAACCCCTGTTGTAGACTTTAAGTCCATATCTTATTCATTTCTGAATCTCCCACACTATTTCATATAGGTCTTAATACTGAGAATACGGTAGCTGTTTAGTAAATATTTTTTAAATTAGTAAATATGTATTCTGTATCACACTCTATCTATAAGCCATAGTTCCCCTACATAATGGAACTGACTTTGTTCTAGCTCAAGAATGCCATAATGGAAGAGGCCACTTTAGACAAGATGGTAAACCTTTTTAAAATACCGGAGACCCAGTGGGGAGGAGGATACTAGTACTACTGCATTAAAACAAAACAAAAAAAAATTGAGAATGCCAAAGGACTGGATAGTGTGTGAAATATAGTATTGGGTCCTTTATAGAATGGATCCATTCATTTCATTCATCCATTCGTTCTCCTTGTCATAAGAAATGTCTTAGAAAAAGTGATGGTGACTTCAAGAAAAATTGTATAAATGATGTGAAAATTGCTCCCCACCATACTGATCTTTCACCTCAGACCACATCAGTGCTTCTTGATACTATAATCCACAATAGCTAGTTTATTAGGTATCAGATTTTTCATATGCGTTAGCCACTGAATTTTTATCTTATTTAGTCATTTGTCATTTTTATCACAATAATCTTATCCCAAAGTGTCTCTAAGCTATTGTCAAGAAACATGCTTTCTTTAAGCATGTATTGGATTTATTTACACACAAGGCAATGAGAAACAGTGGAAAAATCACAAGTTTTGTAGTCAGAAGGTGTGGTTATGTGTTACAGTTCTTCCCACTTTTTTTGTTTCTGATTTGTCAAGGGGAAATAACTACCTATTTCATCAAGTTTCTGTGAAAATGAAATCAAATACTGTTTGTGGAAGTGCCTTACAAACTATATAAATGTTTACTTCCATTTTTGTTATTATTGGCTGATTTGAGAGGATACTGTATACATCCTTTTCAATATCTGAGTTTCTGATTTTTGTTGACTATTTGCAGTTATAATATTTCTGATTTAAAGCTAAAGTGTTCGCCACCACTGTACAGAATATGTTATCCTTTTAGATTTGCAAGTAAGAAGTAGTGCAAATAGTGGACATTATTTCCCTCACTTTTTCCATGTGGTTGAATTATCTTTAATTTAAACTTCAGATGATGCATATAGGCTTGTGATCAACACCTTTTGTACCAAACAGCTTTTGGTTTTTTTGGGTATCTGTGGAATATCTAATGCAAGGGACTTCACAGGTACTTCGGGGAAGGGAGAGATATCCAAGACACTAACCTCACTACCAAAAAAGAAATAGTACTAAAAAAAAAAAAAAAAGAAAGAAATAGTACTAACATTTACTTTCTTTTCCACATTTAAAAAATCTGCACTGTCCAGGTCTTCAAGCATTGTTTTCCCAGCAAGACTGTTCCTCAGTTGAACAAAAGACACACAGTTTTAGTATTCTCATTTCTGTACATATTTATAGCTTTATTAGTAGTGATTGATGAGTAAGTATTTAATTTGAAACTTATGACTTACAGTTGGTGTAGAACTTATACACAGCGTTCATCTGTTTATTATGAGGTTCTTTGTTTGTAACATTTAAAAAGCCGTTATTGGGAATTCCCTGGCAGTCCAGGGGTTAGGATTCAGTGCTCTCACTGCCAGGACCTGGGTTCAGTCCCTGGTCGGGGAACTGAGATCCCGCAAGCCGACTGGCATGGCCAAAAAAAAAGCCATTATTATGTTATTTTGCTTCCTTTTCAAAAGAATTAGGTTTAAGCAAAGTCAGGTGGAATAAACTAAACAAGTCTTCCCTGTTAAACTGTTCTTTCAGGTTTTTTGAAGCAAGTGGAAAATCCAGTCATGAACACCTGATGTGCATGTCATTTGTGCTTGAATCCATGTTTGTGGTCAACTAAAATTCATGTGACATTCAGTTGTTTTTAGCTTGAAAGGAATTTCTGCTTCAGGTAGAGAAGATAACACAGATTTCTTCTGCTCTAATCTGTTGTAAGGAAATAAATCGAGGACACACACACACACTTTACAACTGAATCAAAGCTGATTTATGTTTGCAGAATTTCAATAAAATTCTTTTTTATTTTCTGTAGAATTTTGAATGATTAAGGTCATTCTACCCTTAATTTAAGAGGAATGATAAGAACTTTGAAAGGTCAGATTTAAAAGGTTATGAAATTTAAGTGTGACCACTGGATATTTGCTAGTGTTGAAATACAAGTTTATTAGTTTCTGCAGGTATAAGCTGAAAGATGTTGCCTCTTCCATATTGATTAGCTGTTATAAATAAAATGCAGAAAAAAAATCACACTAATTCAGACAAATAAGAAAAGGTTTTCTGAATGAGTAAATATTCAGAATTGTAGATATTTTTAAATAACATTTTGAGATTTTGACAAAATAGTAAAATAGTAAAAGTTAGCCAAGAGAAGTCCTTAGAAAAATTATTTTAATGAATAGGTATGAAAGGTTTATCATTGTAGTATTGATTACTTACAATTAGGTGACTTCTGAAATTCCTGGAGTGTCTAAAAACAACTTGTTCTAAAATAACTGTCCCCCAGCCATCTTAATTCACTTTAATTCATTGGGTGAGTCCTTTCTTAGTAGTAAAAATGCAAGGTTCACACCAGCTCCAGTCCTGAAATCTGTCATATTTTTCAGCAAATGCTGAAAGATAGACAAGATTTTCCCTTCATATTGCTATATGTTTCAGTCATTTGAATTCAGTTTCACTCTAAAAGGAAATCATAATAGTATTTCATAACACTGTTATGAAAATGCTTGCCTATGCCTCCCTATGTATATATGAGAATCATTTTCTAGGATAGATAGATAGCCAGATGGATTTTTGAAGACATGGTTACATTGTCTTCTAGTTTCTAGTGTTTATTCTCGTTCCTTTTACAGGTGACCTGTTTTTGTCTCTCAAAAAGGTTCTAGAAATTTCTCCTCACCTTTGGTGTTCTGATAGTTTACAACACTGTGTCTAGACAGATGTGGGTTTCTTTTCATTTACCCTGATCACTCATTGAAACCTTTAAATTGCAAAGATACACCTTTCTTCAGCCGGAGAAATTTTTTTTCTCCTTTTATTGTTTTTTTCTATCATTCTTTCTCTTCTTTCCTTCTGAGACTCCTCTTAGATCAGTGTTAAAACTTCCAGATACATGTTCCATGCTTTTTAACCATTCTCTCTCACTTTCTGTCATTTCATGGGATTTGGGGCAGGAAGGGAGACAAAAGTGTTCGGTTTGCCATCTTGATCTAGTTTTCTGACAGAGTTCTTTTTGTCCCATAAGGCTGAGTTTTACAAAATGTTTGTCATTTTATTTGTCTCAGCAGTCCATTCCTAAAGGAACATGACTCATATTTTATAATAACCTTTGGAAGGTTGATACTGCTTAACATACTTTGGTTTTGTAGTCAGATTTTTTTGAAGATATGTTTTTTTAAAGCCCATAGTACCATTTTAAAAATTATACTCACTTGCCTTGTGCTATTGGGAGTGAGCCCAGTCACATTAAAAAGTGTGTTGGTATCTCAATCACTCATCAGGTCCAGGCAGCTCCAAGTGCTGATAAAGGCCTTGATGCTTCTCCAGATGTCTGTTCTAAGTGGTAGCTTCAGGTGCAATAAGCAGAATATTTGGAGCTGGCACATAGATTCTCAAGCACAGAGTATGAGTAAAAATCAAAGTTGTAGGTCCTTGGTCTCCTAGAATAATGGTTCACAAACCTGGTTGAGCATCAGAACCACCTGTGCACTTTATAAAAATGTAAATGCATGGACCCTGTGCTGGACCTGTTAAATCAAAATCCTGCAGGGTGGGGCTGGGCATCTGTATGAGTATGTAGGTGTGTGTGTGTGTGTATCTTTAAAGACTCTAGGCATTATTCTGATAGGCAGCCGAGGATGAAAACCACTGTTCCTAGAGACCCCCTCTATATAGTTTCTCCTCCTCGTGCCTCATTTTGAAAAAAAACAAACAAACAAACAAAAAACGCTATCCAGTGTCCTTTGGTAAAGACATGTGATAATTTACTTGACTGGTACCCTCTTCATGGACATTTAATTTGCTTCCAGTCTTCAGCTATTACAAATTACTCTAGTAGATATCTTGGTACATATAACTTTGTACACATTTGTGAGTATATTCATGGGATAAACACCTAGAAGTGGAGTTGTTCAGGCAAAAGGCATAATATATGTATATGTAGGTGTGTGTGTGTGTGTGTGTGTGTGTGTGTGTTTGTGAATTTGAGAGAGATTTTTTTTGTCTGTGGAAATATGCCTTTTATATCCTCAGGTGTTATATTCTTAGGCTGAAAATATCATTAAATCTTGGAAGTCCTTAACATTTTGTTTTCATTTCTAATCAGGCCAGTACTAAAGTGGAAGTGGACATGGAGAAAGCAGAGAGCCTGCAGGTGACAAGAGGAGACTTCCTTGCTTCTTTGGAGAATGATATCAAACCAGTGAGTATGAATACCAAGTGATGTATAAGCCAAAAATAATAATAATAATTCAGGGGAAAAATAAGTGCCATGTTACCCAATATTTTGGAAGGTTATATCACATGTAGTTTTTAAAGAATCATAAAATCTCAGTACTGGAACTGTCCAATATAAGAAACATCTGTTCAGTAACTCTGATGGCTGGGTAATTAACCAAGACTTACTGAAATATTTCTCATGATAGGGAGCTCACCATCTTGTAAGGCAGACCATTCAATTTTGAGACTTTCTAATTATTAGTTCTTAAATTGTTTTGAACTAGAAATAGTTTTCTCATTGGTTCTTATATAATCTGAAGCTACAGAAACCTAAATTCATCCTAATTCATCCATCCTTCATATGTTAGTTATTATGTTTAAAATTAATTCTCATCTCCTTTCTCTCTCCCTTTCCCCACCCTCCTCCAAGGCATCCCTTTTTCTTGCTCAATACCTCCAGTGCCTCTAACTGCTATAGTTTCTAAAACTTTTAACCATTTTCAGTGCCCTTTTTTAAAAAGGTGTCAATTTTCTTAAAATATACTCAAAACTCAATAGTCATAGTTGGAGTTTTAGAATTATAAGGTCATTAGCCCATTTTCCTATAAAACAACCACTCATGTTTGAGTAAACATTATTTGGAGTCCTATATTAATACAAAAACAAATTGTAGAACCTTAAAAAGGTGTGTATGTTGTTTTTCTTTCTTCAATGGACCTTGGGTGCACAGAATTGGATTAACCTTAATCTTTAATTCATGACATACTGTCATTAGTCTCAGTGTGTAAAATAAAATATGGTATGTATTGATTTTTTGAGACTTGCTATTTTATTACATATTCTATTATCAAGTCATCTATATGATTGTGCTATGCCTCATTTATTTTCATTGCTGAATAGCATTCTATTGTGTGACTAACACAATTTGTCTGTTTTCCTGTCAATGGGCAGTTGGAACGTTACCAGTTTTTTGTTATTACAAACAACTGCTGCTAAAGCATTCTTGAATGAGTTTCTCCTAGATATATGTTTAGGAATAAAATTGCTGGGTTGCTGGGTATATGAATGTACAACTTCAAGCTAAGACTGTCAAGCGGTTTTTTTCAGTGGTTGAACCAATAAACACTTCCCCCAATAATGTAAAAGAGATCCTGTTCTCTACATCCTCTACAACACTTGGTATTGTCAGACTTACTTTTTGCCATTCAGTTGGATGTAAAATGGGATCACGTTTTTGTCTTGATTTTCATTTCACTGATTACCTATGAAGTATTTCTCCATATGTTTATTGGCCATATGAGTATCTTCTGTGAGATGCCATTCATGTGTTTTGCCTATTTTTCTGTTGTATTGTTTAGTTTTATTTGATCTGTATAAGTTCTTTATATATCCTTGACAATAATTATTTGTTGCAAGTATCTCCTTTAAAGACAAAAATCAACTTGTTTTAGCCCTATCTGCTTTTTTTAAATTAATTAATTAATTTATTTATTTATTTTTGGCTGCGTTGGGTCTTTGTTGCTGCGCGTGGGCTTTCTCTAGTCGTGGCGAGCGGGGGCTACTCTCTGTTGTGGTGTGCGGGCTTTTCATTGTGGTGACTTCTCTTGTTGTGGAGCACGGGCTCTAGGCACGCGGGCTTCAGTAGTTGTGGCTCACGGGCTCAGTAGTTGTGGCTCACGGGCTCAGTAGTTGTGGCTCACGGGCTCAGTAGTTGTGGCTCACTGGCTTCAGTAGTTGCGGCGCACAGGCTCTAGAGCGCAGACTCAGTAGTTGTGGCGCACAGGCTTAGTTGCTCTGTGGCATGTGGGATCTTCCCGGACCAGGGCTCAAACCCGTGTCCCCTGCATTGGCAGGTGGATTCTTAACCACTATGCCACCAGGGAAACCCCCTGTCTGCTTTTTTATGACTATTCTGACTTTTAACTGACTTTTCAAAAGTTACTCAACAGTGGAAATGGTTTAATCTTTTGCTGTTATTATTTGTAATAGTTACCAAAAATATTAGAGCCCAGCCTAACTGATCTATCTTAAAATTTTTTCAAGACAGATGATTTGGCTACAAAGAAAGGGGCAACTAAGATAACTTAGTTAAGTAAGCAGTAACTCTTATTTATTCCAAGGGTCTGGGGGATAAAACAAAAACTGAAATGACAGGATAAGTAAGGATGACTCATACATATTATATAGCTTGGGAGGGTCACTGTTTTCTGGTTCACGTATCTCAACTCTGTTAGACAAAAGCCAGCCAATCTACATATTTCCTACAACAGCCTTCCAACCAGTATTTATTAGGCTCTTACTTTATAACTTTTTACACAGCCACTGCATTTACCATATTCAGATCAGGGAATAAGAACTTTACTCTGTACTCAGGAATCAAAGCACTAGTGTATGCAAGGACCAAAGAGTGGTCTGAAAAATGATTTGGTGGCAAAGTAATAGAGTGATGAGACCACTGTTTATACTGTTTATAAACAGTATTACAAAGGATGACTTTCTGTGAGGTCCAAGTTCTAAAGAACTGTTAAAGTTATTCCATACATTGGGGAGTGAAAACTTGACTTGAGGGTTGTGATAATTTTTTTAAATTAGAAATTGTCAAGCTGTATGAGCTTTATATTACATTGGGTTATATTTTCCTACTCATTTCTTCTCCTGTTAACCTTGTGGAAATGCTATTCAATTAAGTAAATAAGTACTAAAGTTTTTAACTACTTTTGGTAGCTGGTTTGATGGGAGTTACAATTTGAGATTAGAAGTTGAAAATGAAAAGGGATGTGATTTATGCCCCAATATATAGTACAAATGAAATGATTATATATAGCAATTGCTTTTCTTTCCTTTCCCTAACCCTTCAATCTTCATTACCTCTGCTCATTTCTAGCTCGTTCTAAATCTTACATTTACACACACACTTACCTTTTGGTGCGATTCGACTTATATCCCCTACCACCAAGCGTATGTGGACAAGATCTCCTCATTACCATTTCATATTTCCATTTTAATATCTGACACCTACAGTCAGTGTTAGGATAGTATCTTTGTGTGCTGAGCCAACTGTTTCTAATTTCTAAATCCATATTCTCTCTTTCTCTTTGCTCTTGACAGAAGGCCACAACCCATGTACTCCTTATAGAAACAAGCACATTGGAACATACCCTTTCTCAGGGATTGCAAGGGCTTGAGCCCTCACAGAATCTGAGCCTAGAATATATTTTTTATTCCATTAAGTCACGTGAAGCAGTTTTTGCCCCAATTGGGTAAAAAGTTAAATGAGAAATTGAAAGTTTTTTTTTTCTTTTCAGGCTTTTTATATTAATATGGGATATTGCTATAGCCCTAGCATGTAGGAATTATTACTCATCCTTTATACCTTTAAATACTTAATTTTTAATACTGACACTGAAAATGCTTTAAACTGTCCTTTTCCTTCATAGGCATTTGGCACAAACCAAGAGGATTATGCAAGTTACATTATGAATGGTATCATCAAATGGGGTGATCCAGTTACTCGAGTTCTAGAAGATGGGGAGCTGCTGGTCCAACAGACTAAAAACAGTGACCGCACACCATTGGTTAGCGTCCTTCTGGAAGGTGAGAAAAAATGATGTGATGGCATCAAAAGCTGAAAAAAGAAAAAGAAGCACTTTTACAAAACCATTTAGCACATTCCAGAAAAATGAATTATTTTCAGGTCTAAACCTGTTCATGATTTGAAAATAGCAACCCATTCTGTGTTCCAATATTGTGCACGAATTTAAATCTTCTTGGGTTAGAATGTTACTAATGAATGATAGCAACTAGTTTTCTTATAAGATTGTATCTAAATTTCTGTTACTTAATAGACTCTATGATACCACATAATATTCAATTCAATTAAAAAAATATTCACTGAGTATTTACTATGTCTTAGGCATTGAACTGGTTGCTGGAGACACAAAGACATTCACAGAGTTGAGTCTGGTCATGAAAAAAGCCATGTAAACAAATACCTGACTTCCATGTATGTGTGTAAGGGTATGTGAATGCAAGTCATTTTGCCCAGGGGTGGTCAAAGAAAGTGTTCAATTTAGATTTTGTAGGATCAGTTAGGATTTTACCAAGTAGACAAAAAAGGAAGGACATTCTACCAATTATTTTTTATAGTTATAATTAGTAGAACAACAGAAAAGTTCAGTGAGTCCACATGACAGGGGAGTCCAGCCCCTTCCAAAGGGCTACACATTAAGCCAAGACCTAAAGGATGAGGAGAAGCTGGGCAGGCATAGTAACTGCGGAAGATGTTCTAAACAGGGACCAGCGTGTGAAAAAGCCCTGGGCTGGAAGGAGACTGAAACAGAAAGGGAGGTTGGCTGAGACATGAGACTGAAGAAGTAGACAGGAGCCAGTTCATGCAAAGCCTTGTAGACCATGTTAACGATTTTTTTAAAAATTTATTTATTTATTTATTTTTAGCTGTGTTGGGTCTTTGTTTTTGCGCACGGGCTTTCTCTAGTTGAGGTGAGCGGGGGCTACTCTCTGCTGCGGTGTGCGGGCTTCTCATAGTAATGGCTTCTCTTGCTGTGGCGCATGGGCTCTAGGCACGTGGGCTTCGGTAGCTGTGGCGCACAGCCTTCAGTAGTTGTGGCACGCGGGCTCAGCAGTTGTGGCGCACAGGCTTAGTTGCTCCGCGGCATGTGGGATCTTCCCGGACCAGGGCTTGAACCCGTGTCCCCTGCATTGGCAGGCGGATTTTTAACCACTGCGCCACCAGGGAAGTCCCTGTTAGACTCTGTTTAGACTCTGTCCAGGGGGCAGTGGGGAGCCACTTGTAGGATTTTAAGCAGTGAAGTGACATGATCAGATTTATATTTTCAGAACATCATGACTACTTTGTGATAGAGAGAGGATTAGAGTGGCGAAAATACACGGGAAAGACCAATGGTGAGAAGCAGTTGCATTGGTTTTAATGAGAGCTGATTATGGTTTGAAGCACTGTCGTGGTAGGAGGGATGGAGTTATGTAGACCATTTTGAGAAATATCTAGGAGGGAGAATAAAAGAGACTTTATGATAATTAATTATTAAGCATAATTAAGCTAACATTCTTTGAACTCTTAACTATTTGCCAGTCAGTCTACTAGCACTTTACTTATACTTTCTCATTTAAACCCCACTTCAATCCTGTGAGGGCAGATGCTGCTGTTATCCCTATTTTGTGGATGAGGAAGCTGAAGCTTAGAAATAGTAAGTAGATTGAAAATGAGGAGAGATCAAACATGATCCCCAGGTTTCTGGTATTCACGGCTGGTAAATGCTATTGTTTACTAAGACTGGGAACGCTAGTAGAGAAGTACATTTCAGAAAGAAAGATCATGAGTTCAGTTTTGGACACATTAAGTTCATGGTTCCTATAGGATAATTGAATGGGAAATGTTGAGTAGCCCCCTGGATATGTGGGTCTAGTGCTTAGAAGAGAGGTCTCGCTGGCAGTATACATTCATGAGTTGTCAGTATGTAGACTGTTGTTGAATCCATGGGAGTGGATGAAGTCACTTACAGAAAGTGTAGGTTGAGAAGAAATGGGGGGCCTAGGACTAATCTCTGAGGAGTGTCAACATTTAAGGACTAAGTAGAGCAGGAAGAGTTGACAAAGGAGGTTGAGTAAGAATAACCAGAGAGGTAAGAGGGGGGGAAAAAGAGAATGTGCTGTCATAGAAGCCAAGAAAAGTATTTAAGGAAAGAAGAGAGGTATAGCTGATTGACTTTGCTGTACAGTAGAAACTAACACAACATTGTAAAGCAGCTATACTCCAATAAAAATTAATTATAAAAAAAAGAAAAAGAAATAAAGAGGAGAGTTATCAGTTGTATCAAATATTCCTGAGAGGCCAACAGATAAAGTGTTGGATTTGGTGATGTGGAGGCCATTGGTGACCCTGATGGGAGCCTGTCCCATGTAATGGCAATGGAAGCCATAGCGTTTGTTTGAGGATGGATGGAAGGTGAAGAGTGAAGGCAGCTGGCCTAGATGATTATTTAGGGAGGTTCCATATCGAAGGGAGAAGGCAGAGTAGTGTTGAGAGTAGTGAAGTCAAGAAAGAGGTTTTTTTTGTGTTTATTAAACTGTCAGTAGACTAGAGCATGTTTAAATGCCGTTGGTAAGGCTCCAGGGAAGAGGGAGGGGTGGAACATACGGGGGAGAGGGTACAGTCAATAATGTCAGGTTCCTTACAGATGTAGAGAACAAATGTATGGACACCAAGGTGGAAGGTGGGGTGGGGGGTGTGTGTGTGTGATAAATTGGGAGATTGGGATTGACATGTATACACTAATATGTATAAAATGGATAACTAATAAGAACCTGCTGTATAAATAATAAAATTTTAAAAATAATAATAATGTCAGGTTCCTGAGAAGATGGGAAAGAATGATTGGTCAGTTTATGGTTGGAAGAGGGGCACATCTTTTATTACACAGAAGGGAAGGAGGAGATGTCTAAATATAAGTAAGTTTGTAGCTTTGGTTGCCTTCATGAGAAGACCTGAGTCTTTAGTTTCCTAGCTCTTTAAGTCATGTTTGCTTCTAATAAGGCAGTTTTCCCTGCCCCTAATATTACCTCCTAAGAAGATTGTATTTTTTTGTCAGACAAATGATTTGATAGAACTAATAACATAGGTACTGATATGCATTTGAATGTATTCTCTTTTTTTTTAAAGAAGCAAAACGCTTGCATTTTGTGTATTTAGCCAGAAGTTTGAAAGATTAAGGTTATGTGAGAAAGAAAGAAAGAATATATTTCAACATACTTTTGAGAAGTGCTAATCAGTTCATTAAATTTAGTTGCTAATAAATAAGAGAAAACATGTCTGCCATGAAATTGTATCAGGAAATGTTAATGAGCAACTAGTGGAGGCCTCAGTACATTGTGGATAAAAGTTTAAACTTGTTTTATTCCTCTTTGCTTAGGTTGGCTTTTTTCCCCTGACTTGCTCGTATTGTTATGCAGGTCCTCCTCACAGTGGGAAGACTGCCTTGGCTGCAAAGATCGCAGAGGAGTCCAACTTCCCCTTCATCAAGATCTGTTCTCCTGATAAGATGATTGGCTTTTCTGAGACAGCCAAGTGTCAGGCCATGAAGAAGGTATCAGGATTTTTACTTTCATTTTAATTTCTTATCGCTTAGATGTGTGTACACGCGCGTGTTCGTGTGTACGTACACATGTACATATATATCTATCCTTGTGTGTGTATATATATATGCCATGGCAGTTATGTTCTTCTCAAGTAGAATTAAATTATCAGCAGAATTTGGTGGGAAACAGCAACTGTTTTAGACATAGTATTTAACTTTGTAATGCATTTTTATTAGAGTATCCTTATCTTCCAAATTATGCTTTGTTTAGTGTATATTATGATTAATTTTCATTTCTTAAGTTTGTATTGACTTGATTGAAAGATCACAGTTAAGAGTGTTTGAGTAGAGTGGAGCAAATTCATTTAGGATTTTTTAAGTTCTTTCATCAATGTATAAAATCAGACTAGGGTCAATTAAATTGACTGTATAGTTTGGGAAAGAACAGAGGTGTATCATTGGAAAGGTATTCTCAAAACCCCTACAGAAAGATGGTGGTATATTAGATTATATTAGTAATCAGTCTGCTTGGCAGGCTTAGTGCGGTCCTTGTCTTTTTGCCTTTCTCCAAGTGCCACTTGTCACCTTCTTAATACAGCTGCTTTGAACCACTGGTGAAAGTTAGAACAACATAGAATAGAATCCTAGCACTGAAAGAACTCTAAGATCGTCTGGTTCATCGCTCTTACATTCAAGCAAGTACCATGTAAGGCATTTAGGATAGTAGGTGGTTGCTCATTAAAAACAGAAAAGAAAAACAACAAAAATCAATGCTGAACACTCTTAATGGCTGTTTCACCTCACTTGATTTCCATTGATATTCTGATTTTGCATACTCCCAGGCAGTGAAGAAAGATTATTTTTTATATATTTAGTTGAAGTATTTATTTTACTTAAATCCTTTTTTTCATGCTTGATCTTTTATAAATAAGAACTTACTGTAAGTTAAAGAGATGTGAGAAAATCAGAATGAGGGGAAAGAATCTTGAGAATGGGCTTGCTGCCTAGTAAAGACAGCTCAGATGTTCTTTTACCTTGTTCTTAGACCCTCACTTTATAAAGATGTAGAATAGAATTACCTTAGTTTTTCTTTAGGGAAGAGATTGAAGAGGAAAATACATTCTTTCAAAAGCAGACTCCAAAAAAATATGTTTGAGAAGTTAGTCTCATGTTTGTGCAGGTAGCAGAAAATCATTTGTGTAGATTGCTTGAAATGGATAGAGGAGGCGGAGCTTGGAACAGGATTCCACACCAAAACATCAAGGTAAATATTCTGCGTAAGGTCTTTGAAGTTGAGTGTGAAAGCGAGGGAAATGTTGCCAGATACAAGAACTTAAATATCATAGTCTGTTTATTCTGTGTCTGAGGTGAGACCCGTAGTATCTATCCTTCCCAGGAAAATCTGGACAGAATCACTAGGACCAGTAACCTCCCTAATGTAGGTAGGGGTTGCTTTTCTTTATTTTTTGGTCTTTTTCCCTTTAAAGGGAACCTTTAAACCACTTTTGTTGAAAATTTAAATAGCCCTTGGAATTGGTGGCCATTGAACTTAGCATTTAATTGAACAGCTGATTCTATTTTCCTAACTCCATCTATTCCTTATACTTGTTCAAAGTAGTCGTCTTCTGTGCATATGGTAAATTACTCCACTGCTTTCCACCAGCTGCCAGCTTCTACCTCACATGTACTCTGAGATGTGGGTGGATGGTCCTGGTTTTTTCTATAAAATTTTTTTTTGAAGTATTTTAGGCTTCTGCACATCAAAGCTGCTTTGCAAGTGTGAGATGTTATCATTTTTATTATTTCAATCTCTTGCAAATTGACTTGAGGGGGAAGGTAATATGTGCTGATTTTAGAGGCTTAAATGGTTAAATTAATGTCTTAATAACTTATGATTTAATCTTTAAATTGTTGAAGCCTTTCAAGGTAGGGTTTCAGATGAGTAGAAGGCTAAGGTGTATAAAAATAAGTGTCTATACAAGCTTACTTGAAATGGTTTGGATTCATGATTCACTGTCTGGATCATCCTTGTACCCTTAAAGTTACAAAAATCATTTCTGCTTCAACAGTATAATAAATTCATATTAAGACTTTTTGGGTTTTCCTTGGGGAAAAATATTATTCCTTGTGACTAAAGAACAGAACAGAGAAAAGAATGAAGCATAGGTGTCTTAGAAATACTGCAAAATCTTTCCCTGCAAATAGTTTTCACATTGTTGCCTAATGATAGATTGACAAAAGCCTGAGGGTTCAAACCCATCTAAAGGTGCTAAGTCTTCCAGTTTGCTTTTGAAAATGAAATATTAATGCCATTCTTTAGTAGTTCTAGTCTCCCTCCCACCATTGTTCTCTTCCCTTCTTTTTTTTTAGTGTGAAGATGGAAAGAAGATTTTTTTTTTCAAAGCACAAATAATTTATAATTCTTTATCATTAGGGAGAAGACATTTCTTTCCTTTTAAGTGCTTCCCTCCCACCCCCAAAATGTAGCTTTTCCCAATTTCAAAAATAATTTAGAAAATGCAGAAAAGGATACAGAAGAAAATAAGTCCATATTTGTCATTCTATTTTCTTCTCTACTCAGATGCACATACACACACACATATATTGGGGATCACATTGGACATACTGTTTTAAACCTGGTTCTTTCACTTAATATGAAGTTTTTTCATTGTCATTAAATGTATCTCAATATTATGTTAAATTAATAGCTGTATAATATCCATTTAAACATTGCTTTTTTGTTGAACATTTATGTTGTTTCCAGGTTTTTTCACAATTATAAACAATATTCTGTAGAACTCCCAATCACTGCCCCCATTTTCTTATTACATTTTTCTGAGAGGAGCATCCTGATTTACTGGCTGAGAATTTGGACTTAGGTTTCAAATAGATCTGAATTTGAATCCCAGCTCTACTGTTCCTACCAGCTCTTATAGTCACTTAACATATAAGCCTCTGTTTTCTCATCTACCAAATGAAGATAATATTAATAGCTGCCTCATTGGGTTGTTATGAGAATTAAATGAGATGGTGATTTATGTACGGTATCACATAGTGCCTTGGAATATAATATGTGCACAGTAAAGTATAGTGGTTGTTTTTACTTATCATTATTATTGCACATACATTTCTGGTTATTTCTTTAGGATAAATTCTCAGAATTGAGATTGCTAAGGTAAAAATGTTAATGGTTTTCAAATTTTTATAAGTATTGCTATTAAAACTTATGTAAAAATACTAATGTTTATAAAGCCCACCTCTTAAGAAAGTTGTGCTAATTTACACTTGCAGCCCCATCATATAAGAATGTCAGTTTCCTTGGGCTCTTGCCCGAACTTGATGTTGTTAAAATATTTTTTGCAGAAACTAACATAATATTGTAAAACAATTATACTCCAATAAAGATGTTAAAATATATATATATATATATATTTTGCAAATTTGATAGGTAAAAGATTGGCATTAAAATCATTCATTCACCTACATTTTAATGACTAGATGCTCAGTTTTAAAGATTTTTCAAAATATTTTGCAATGGCAATAGTTTGTGAAACTCAGAAATATTATAACACATTAATTTTTCTTGGAGAGAGGTGGTCTGAATACTTAAGTCATAGAATATCTTTATATACCATTTTATTACTTAAACCAAGAGATGAGTTTTTGTTAGTAGAGAGGGCCATTAGGCTTGCTTTAATGAGTATCTAAGATTTAATTGCAACTAAGGTATTCTTATTCACATACAGATGGTGCTAAAATATATGAAAGTAGTTTATTCTCAATTAATTTAAAATTCACCTTATACGTCTCTTAATCTGCTTAATAAATCCTTTCTCCATAGATAAACTCCTCAATACTAGCAAAGTCTGTATGAAGTATTATCCTTACATTCTGGGGGGGATACTGTGTGTTCCATTAAGATATTTGAAGTGTTCACAGATTTTCTCTTCTCCCCCATTTTATTTTTGTTTCCCCAACTTTATTCTGTTTAAAAATTTTAATTCCTTTATCCATTTTTGCATCTGTACTTTAAAAAAAAACCCTATTTTACTAGTTCTATTAATGGCATTAAATCAACAAAAGAACAAAGCAGTAGAATTTGATTTTAACTAATTACCTAATGTTGGTGCTTTCCGAGTATACAATCAGTACAGAGTTGAAATAGAACAATCTGATGTGACTACATTGTTTGAACAAAATTAAGTAGAAAATTAGTGATTTATAAAACTATACCCATTAATAGCATAATATAGTCTTGTTTTTAAAAGGACTGAAAATTAATGGAAGAAATTTTCTTTTCCACTAGCTTTGCAAGAAAGAAATAATCTTCTTTGAATATCCTCCTGTAAATCCCACTGCAAATTGTAGTCTGCACAGAACAGAATCATGGTGCCTAATCCTCCTCTTTTCATGGTTTAGTCCATACAAAGAGCAGAGCTGGAAATTGGATCTTTTGACAGCAGTTACTAAGCAACAGAATTTGGATGTTTTTGGTTAACATCCTAATATATCATGTAGCTGATTTGTTGAAGATTGTGCATGCATTAACTGAGAGAAGTGGACACCCCGGAAGTGACTACAGGTCCCTGTACTGCTGGGGGACGAGCACTTGTTGTTTTTGTTTAATACACTCTGTCTCTTGACGTTTGTATCTGTTCGGCACACAAAGGAAGATGGTGTAGCTCTATAGTGGAATTTAACTTTCAGATCTTGTGACTTTTTATATTATAAAAATACCCCACTCTGTTGCTCATGTCATGTGAAAATTTAAGAATTTTTCCTGAAAAGCAGGGAGAACAAATAAGGGATTTTAAGGTCATTCCAGGAAGCTTGAGTGCTTTGCCAAAAGTTTAGGTCCACTTCCTGAGGCAGTTTCATTAAAAGACAGCTAATGTTTGCTTGGTCTGCTCCCAAGTTATTTTTAGAAACTAGAGATTATTACTGATAGCACCAATTTGAATTTGCTCATTTACGTTTTTATGTGCTACCAAATATGATTAGAGTATTCT